AAACCATTCTATGATCGTAATAAAATGCAAATATTTACAGATCTTTTGCAGGATCCGGCACGGCAGGCACAAGCTCCAGAGGTGGAACAACGACAATCACAAGGGCAAGCCATTAGGAGGCAGGAGCAATTGAAAAGAAAGTTTCCCCGTTGGAAAATTGAAGGTAACAAGAAAAAGAAGCCGTTCCACCGACCAGAAAAGAGAGAGCACGACCACCCCCAGAATGAAGAAGGGAGAAGTAGGGAGAAGTACGACGAATGCAAAGAGAGCCAGGAGAGAAATAACGGCAACTATAACCCGGCTCCAAACGGAAGATCTACCCATCGGACAGGAGTCTACGCAGCAAATGTCGACGAATTGCGGAAGGAACACCAGCTGCGGAGGCAAAGAAACAAGGAAAATTTGAACAGCCAGCAACGAGATCCAAGCAGGAACGAGAGAGAAGTGTCCCGGTTCCGCCAAGACCAGCTGCCATCAAACGGCCAAGACCACAAGGCAGAGGCGAAAAAGAAGGTCTTCAAGGGTGACCGAACTGGAAGGAAAAGAAAGCTCATAGAGGAAGGAACTGAAGGGCGAGCCCGCACAAGAAGGAAGATAGCTAATCTTCGCTACCTTCCAGACTGGGCAGAAAAAAGAATGTCCGAATATCACAAAATAAGTAAAACTTTATGTTACTTTGCAAACCTTAAGTTAATCTTTCATTCTTACTGCAAGTGGCAGAATTCAAGAACGTTTTACCTCATGTGAGGTCTACCTTTATCGCCAAAAAGGCGAGAAATGAGTTGTTACCTATTTTGGTATTATGTTTTTCAATTACTCGCGAGTAAAACTAAAATTAATGTATAATAGGAATGTGTAAATACTTGAATATTGTAAAAGTTATTGTATAAAATTTTATTTAAAAGATTCTGGCAAGAAAGAAGTTTTAGTCTGAAAGACTTTTGAAATGTAGTATTTCAATGTAGAAGAATTGGCACTTGCTTGGAAAAGAATAGAAGTTAACAATGTACTACTAATGTATGTTTTAAAATGCGTAAAATTAACGGCATGTTAATATGTCTTATATACAATGTGAACTGTTATTTTAAACGTTAAGAAATACTGTGATATGTTAAAAGTGAAAGTAATGCCAAAAATTTTAAACTTATTCGTGTGACTGTAAAAAGAGAAAATTATTGTGAATATGTGTTAAAGGTTGAATGAATGTAGTTAGGCTCTCTGACGCTACACTTCAGAGTTAGCCACTTTCAGAATAGTACCTCAGGGTTTAGAGATGAATATAAGGTGTGTTATGAGGTCTTGTTATGTTGAATTTTAACACGTTAGTGTTTTGATTGCAGGCGGTAGTGTTGAACACTTGTACATATAAACACATTCGTGTTTGGGTGTTTTCTTTTACAACACATGTCAGAGAGCACGGGGAGAGATAATTAAATAAAGTCATGAATGAAATAAGAATGTTAAGAGAAATATAAATATTCATGTTACTTGCCATTTAGTTGTGTAACATTTCATTAAACTACTTTTCCTTCCAGATCTCTGGAAGGAACCAGATTTCAACTAGAAACTCCTGTTTAGATGCAGTACAGATGAAAATTCTTGTCCTTGGAGTTGATAATGTAAAAACGACTTTTTTTAATTTCTAGTTTCTAGTGAGAACTGTTTGTAAAAGATTGGCCTCGCGTTAGATTCTAGAGCTAAAAGTTTTCAACAAGGTCGTTTTAGACCTCAGTTTCAAACTAATTAACTCTGGCGGGAAGTATGTAAGGATCTTAAGTTTTACTAACGTTTATTTTATTTTAAATCTTTACTATCACTTCTTATTTTCTACTTCCGGCCAGAATTAAAAGTTTTAACTTATTTATGCAAATTTGTCTTGCGAACGCCAAGTACTTAAGTTGTGGCTTTTTGCCAAGCAAGAGAGAGAGGAAGGAGTTAGTAGAAGCAGGCCGCTTGCCTTAGCAGTTTTACTCGGTTGCTGGTTGCCTTCAAGGCCAGAGGTTTAATCCTCTTGATAATTTTAAACGTATCGTAGTGTTAACAGTTCTATGTACTACATACGGCCTTTCTGTTAATATACGGCCAATCTTCAAGTAGACACTTGTTTATTAATCCAAAGTTAGTTTAGTTAGAATTTAATTAATATTTTTACATTCTTACGTTCAGACCACAAGTGGTTCGTCTCTGTATTCCGAAGTCCGGAAATCATTGTAAAGAGAGAAAAATAAAGGGTTTCGTATACCCTTCCTGTGTATCTTGTCTCATCTACTTCCCACATTTATTGAACATAGCTTTAGTAAGCTCCCTGTTCCGAGTCAGGTCATTTAATGTTCCCCAAGCAAGTAAGGAGGAACACTGAACCTGATAACGTTTTATCATAAAAAAGGGCAAATGGAAGATCTGTTTTCTGATCATACAAAACAGTTAAATGTTGGTAGATCTATCCACCAGTGATTGAATAGGGTGGTAGGTAGGTAGGTTACGGAGGACTGGAACGCCTGGTGTCTAACAGAGGTAAACAGGCATGTGTTCCACGCCGTCCTCTAACTACAGCAAAAGCTCCCTGGAGCCCCACGAGGCTGCACCAGGAGATTATTGAGGTTGTCGAAGGGAAGTACGACGGGGGGGAGTACGACGGTGTCAAAGGGAAGTACAAAGTCAAAAGGAAGTACAGTGATTGAATATTGGTACTTTATTCTCCGTCTGATATTTGGTAAAATAGATATAAGGTACTTCTCCCGCCTTCTTAGCGTGCTTTGGGGTGTAATGGCCAGCACACTCGGTGGGGATTCGAGAGGTCCGAGGTTCGAGTCCCGGGGAAGGCATTGCAAATTTTGCATGTCTCCAGCTTCCAAATAACCGAATGTCTCTACATAGATTACCGCACGCGGGTTTTATGCTCGTATAAGTATGAAATATAAGTCTTCGTCTTTTTAATGCAGGTTTTTCTTAGCACTTTCTTCTACATGCCCGTTTCTTTTGACATATTTTCTACGAGACCTTTCAACATAATGATACGTTTCAAAATGAATATGGTTCATTTTCGTTCAAAAGCATAAAAAAGGTTGAAAGAAACTACGTAATGAACTGTTGATAAAGATAGTATTTAATTTTCTCTCAGAATCTCCACAGCTTCGACGTTTGTTTCCATGGTTTTAATACAGAAAAGCTCAAATTATATAACACTGTCATGCATTTAGCGTAATACAACTGGAGGTCGATTTTGCTATATAGAAACAAATCAAACCAAATAACCTAACTAACTATTAAAAATATATATGTTTAAAATATGAATGTTTAAAAAATAAGCTATCGAAATTTATTCCTCTTTCTGAATATTGCACGTTATTTTAGAGAAATAAGGAGCGGGAAAAATTATTATGTAGCATTTATATTAATGGACGACCATAAAGTACAGAGAATAAAATCAAGTTTCATTATTTAAGTATTTATAAAAAATATTTAAATTTTTAAGTTTCCTTCATGTATAGCAAAGACTAAAAATGAGTGAATATCACTTGTTGCTTCTTCTTCTTCTGTTTAAGTGAAGACGTTTATTAGTATATAATAAACATAATAAACTTGACGAAATTGCTTTTAATTATTAAGATTGATTATGAATAATAGAAAAATATAATATTTCCTTTTAAAATGTTAAATTTCAGAAGATAAAACACTGCTGGCCATTAAAATTGCAACACCAAGAAGGAATGATTTGACGAATGTCAAAATCGCAAAAAAGGAAGAAGATGTTGGGAAGATGCAAATGATTAGTATTTCAGCTCATTTAGAAGATGCAGGACGGAGAAACAACATCTGAAGCACTGCATAAAAGAAAGCTATCTAGTGGATTTCTCATTCGGAAAGCTCTTTATTAGGTCGGGGTTTTCTCAGAATATCGTGTTATAACTCGAATAATAAGAAGAAATGTTTACCAGCAAGTGTCGGAATTCGACAGAGGTAGGATCGTTGCTATCGAGAGTGTGGATTATCCTTCCGCGATATCGCCCGTCGCACTGGTCCACATCCAGCCACTGTCATGCGAATATCCAATCAGTGGGTGGCTGAGGGTCATACTGAACGGCATCTCAACGCCCTCCCATGACTAATGCCTGACGGGACAGACATATTGTGAGGTCAGCCCTGCAAAACAGGACAGCCACATAGCGGACGATTACTCAGAAAATGGGCATGTTTGCAGCACGCCCAGTATCCGCTCGTACAGCGCGTCAACGTTTGCAGCAACGTGGACTATCAACACGGCGACTATTTATCCAGCTTCCCTTGACAATGCAGTACAAAGAAAGACGGCAACTCTGGTGCGCCGAACAATAAAGCTCTATACAGGAGTGGCACAATGTCATGTTTTCAAAAGAGTCCCGGTTCTGCGTGCAGTATTCTGATGGCCGCATACGTGTCTGGAGGCTCCGAGAAGACAGCACGTCGCCTGCTTGCGATCGATATCGGCATAGAGGTCTTGCACCTGGTATGATGATTTGGGCAGCCATTGGGCACACGACGCACACATCACCAGTTTCTATCGATGGTAATTTGAACGCATATCGAGAGATTTCTGACATATTGCGTCCTCGATGCACAGGGTATTCGATTGCTGCTCTGGCGTGCACGGTCTCCAAATCTGTCACCCATTGAAAAAGTCTGGTCATGGGTTGCTGAGAGACTGGCCCGCCACCGCTCTCCAGCTAATATGGTTGATGAAGTGTGGCATATACTTGAAGCAGCATGGAATGAGTTGCTCGTTTCTATCATTCAAGCCCTTTTTGATTCCATTCCTAACCGGTTAAGGGCCGTTTTAGCTGCCACGGGTGGCCGATGTTTCTAGTAATTTCGCAGTCCTGTAAACCCCCAAACTTCTTACAAATTTAACTATTTTGTCTTCATGCCATACTGTTTACTTGCAGAAAATATCGTTTTTGTATTTGCTTTCCTTCATGGTGTTGCAATTTCAATGGTCAGCAGTGTATAAACCCATTACTCACCTTCAAGTTGATCCTGTCTAGCTGCCTGTTTTGAGATTCCATTTCACTTCCCATGTCAATAGCCATGTTTCGTAAGTTTCCAATCATTGTACTAACTTGTTGCATATTTTCTTCCATCTCTTCTTCGCGAGCATCATTTGTGATCCTAGAAAAACAGTTGAATATTATTAGAACTACTGGAAAAGGCAATAAGAGTAATTTAATTAAAAAGGTACAACATTCAAATAGTTAAAAAAAGTGACATAGACTCTTGAGATTTGAAGGAAAAAATATTTAATGAAATTGCTTTCTTTTTCATTTTAACTTATAGTTCGCTTTCAAATCAAGGTAAACAAATAGGTAACGCACGAAAAACTTTTCATATATAAATAAACAAAAGCTCTTAAGAACTAAGGTGTGCATCTATTTATTGCCTGAGAGTTTTCAGAAAAATAATGCTTTTACACATTTCTTGATATTTCTTTTAAATGCTTGCAAAATCTTTTAAGTTTATCGAAACAGGAAACATGACAAATGAGCAGTGTCCTCGAAGGTATTCGAATTCCAGACCTTCCTATTACTAGCCACGACAAGCTTTCCAGTTACACTATGAAAACACATAGTAAGAAGGGTGGAAAACCTTATGTACGTATTTTGTAAACCTTTGGCGAATTTTTTATTAAAAACTCAACAGTTTCAAAGAGAGCAGTGGCAACACACTGTACAGAATAAAATATTTTTATCTCCAGCGAGCGAAACTGTCTATCAGAAATTCTAAAACTATTCTGTTTTTAAATATTTTTAACCCAAAGAAGCTTTAGCCCAAATATTACCGAAACGTGTATGTATCCTGAAAAAAAAAAAAAAAAAAAAAAAAAAAAAAAAAAAAAAAAAACAAAAAAAAAAAAAAATCTTTGCCTTAGCGAAAAAATTGAACTTAATTTTTTTTTGTTTTTAATTCTTATTGTATGAAAACCTGAGATATTATGTATTAGTTAAAAAACATTAAACACACGAAACATAACCGATCAATTTTGGCTAAGATGCAAAATAATTGAAATACCGATTTAAAAATTATTTCCTTTAAAAAATGAACATAATGTGCTTGTTTTGAAATAATTATTTTATTAATTAAATGAATTCTTATAAAAATTTATATCCAGATAATTAGAATTAATTAAACTCAGTATAATATAATATTTTCAGAATTTTAATAAGAATAATTAGAATAAAAAATAATAAGAATTTCAGAATTTTACGTTTTTAATTTTAATGAAATATTAAAGAAAAGTTACAAAATGAATACTTTTTAATTACTGAAATATCAAGAAATTTTTACGCATTATGTAGTTTTGATTATTGTCTCAGATTATAGGTTTTTTAAAAACATGCTTGCAGATACTCTATCAGCAGCAGAATGAATAATTTAATACATTAATTTAAATAATTTAAAACACACACAGTAATAATCCTACGATACGTTGCCAAGATATCAGCTAATTATATGCAATACAGCTACACTCAACTTAGTTACCCCTAATTAGAAAATAAAAAAAATCAAATGAAATAAAAGCAGAGGATATCGCTGACATACTTAGCAATATATCCACCCATAGGCCCTGCTCCATTTCTGTCATCCATAACTCTCGCTGGCTGGTTGTTAACAACTTTGCCGTCTTCACTTGCTTTCCACGTACTTGCATCCTCTTTAAAATCCGAAGATCTGTTGGTGAATAGAAAAAATAAATAGCTTTATAACATACAAGACTTAAATTACATGTTTAACATTAAAATTTAATCAACGGCCAATTATTTCTCTAATACATGTGAAAACTGCTACATGTTTACCTTGGAATGCTTCTACTTTGTATATTACAGTGACCTTTACATGAAGACTTTATTTTAACTATATTCCGTAATTCAGATTGCCAACTTAACACAATGTAACTTTTCATATGGAAACTTTGCTAATTTCTTACTTTAATTATTTTTTTCTGGGCTCAGTCGATTATCAATTAATCGCAAAGCACAGAGGACTTTTGCTTAAGAATGGATTGGATTGGATTATTCGATTATGGCAAAGCACACGAGGGCTATCTGCCTAAAGGGAGGGATGCCTTCGTGGAGGACTTTCTAAGGGAAACTGACTCGTATACACGTTACACATGGGGAAAACCACGAAAACGCCCATGCAGCCAGCCCGTTCGCGGGATTCGAACCACGGACCGAACTACCAGTGTTCAGCGTCTTTACCGCTCGGCCGCTGGTGGGCCTTGCTTAAGAATGAATTATCTCCAAGAGAAATCTTTCACCATTGTTTACGTCAACGGGCGAGGAAATCTATAATATACCTGCCGCTAGTGCATTACGCCATTCAGCATTGAATAATGTGCCATATTTCTAAGCAGTTAGCTGCTTGGTCAGAAGCTACAGATTTAAAACACGTTAAGTTTTTAATACAATGCGATTACGATGATACTACACTTAAAATCGAATAGGAAATATAAATTTAGCAATGAAAATTTCATAATCTAAAATATCACGATTAAGATCGGTAATAAAATGCTAATATTTATTCAGGCGAATAATTACAACACGTAAGATAACATATTTTTTACGTTGTAATTTTTTATTAGCGTTGGGGAAAAAAAAAAGCAAGTAAGATACTTTTAAAAGAAATTTTGTCGAGTATTTTTCTTCTGCTTATTATTGGACTGAGTACAAAAATAGAAACTTAGCACTTTTATAGGAGCAGTAAGAACAGTTTTAGAAATTTTCGATACTTCTTAGAGATTAACTGAAAATTAAGCCTATTGCAAAGTTCAAAAACCTGAATTTTGCACGTACTTGTTACAAGGGCACACGCAAATACCACAGCATTTTTCCATTCCTTCCAAGTTTTTTTCCGCTTCCTTCATATCAGCGTTAATCTTGTCCATATCTTCTTCAATTCTATCCATTTGTTCTATAAAATTAAGTTTAGAATTTAATTCTTTCACGATAAATCAAATTTGATAAAATATAATTTTTAATCGCTTGCAACAAATAAACTACGACAGCTATTGCTAATCAAATTTCGTACAATGTAAATATTCTACGATAGAAAAGCACATATAACATGCAAAATATAATAAACTTATCATAAACTTTAATTATGCTGATTCACATAATGTGTTTCATTTATCAGAGTATCACAGTAGTAGAATTGCAAAAAAAATCTTCACATTTGCAGGAAGTCGATAAGATGCGAGTCCGTACAAAAATCCCGACATACTATGTCACTTAAAATAATTACTGAATGAACTGGATTTTGTCTTACACATGTACGCCTGCCATTGTTAAAATACTTTAATTAAGGTTACCTTTATAGTCTGTGAAAATAATTTTTGTTTACATTGCACATACTATTATGTAAATAAAATTGTTCTTTTTATTTATACTATGTAATTGAATTAAAGTTTAACTTTTAGAAAATTTTCATTATCTGGCTACAAATTTCTATCAAGCAATAAAAAATCAATTTAAAAATTGTTTGAAAAGTTGGTAAAAAAAAATTTAAACTTTTTGTTTATTTTCCTCAAACAGAAAATTTTATTCCTTACATCTTCTAAAATACAAGAAAAGTAGCATGTATATCAGTGAATGCAAATATCTTTAGGACCAAAAATAATAATGTTTCATGCTTAGATAATGACTGGCGCTAAAAGTAACGGCTTAATGCTAAATTCTCTCGAAAGCTTATATATTATTATACATATGAAAGTATGTATTATTATTATATATAAATATAAAAAAATTATATATAGTTTATATATTATTACATATATAAGTGGAATGCATACATTATCATAAATAAAGCTTATGTATACTGTTACGGATTTTGTATTTAGCTTGCTGTTTTTAGTAGAAATATAATTAAAATTGCTTTATTTCCCTGTGCAATGCAGCGGACGAGTTTTAAGAAAAAACTACATCGAAAAAACGTAAAAACGCAGGAGCACGCGCATTTAACATTTAGTGAATAGATATCTGGTAACTGTACTCTTTTGCTTTCCAAAAACCTCGAGAAAATACCAGAATGTTCTCGTGCTTGATTAAAAGCTTATAAAAGCCGGAGGAAAAAAATCTCAGTTCACTTGTTTACTAAGTTTTTGTTGTTGATTGTAGAGAATTCGAGGTGAGATCGGATTAGCGTTCTCTGAGTTTAAATTGTGTTCTATTTAAGTGGGTTTGGTAGTTTAAAATATAACTACTGCGTGATATTGCGATATTGTACGAATATCTGTGTGGAAAAAATTCAGCATTTTTTTTTTTTTTTTCTGAAACGAATAAATTTTATTAACTTTTAATCGGACTTGTGCGTTCAATCTATTACGAACCCGTACACACGCAACACATTTTGGTGTCAGACGTGGGATTTAAATGCCAACACAAGGGCGATGGAAGAACAATTGAGACAGCTCGTCACTACTTTTGCTGCATTCCAAGAAAAGATGGAAGCTGATCAAGCATCATTTAAAGAAGAGATTAAATCGTGACAGGAATCCGTTTATCAAAAGATGGAAGCTGGTCAAATAACGTTTAAAGATGGCATGAAAGTCGTTCAAGAATCTGTTAAGAGATGAAAGCTGATAAAGAAGAAATGAAAGTAGGTGAAGATGAAATAAAAAAAGAGATTACCTGTATAATAGAAAATAAATTTGAGGCTATGGAAGGCAGAATTGACGCAGATGAAAATAAAGTTTGACACATTGAAGAAAGAGTTTCTTCTGTAAAGGAACAAATAGAAGAAATTCTTCTGTGAAAGAACAAATAGAAGAAAGAGTTTCTCCTGTGGAGCAACGAAGCAAAAGAAGAGTTTCTGCCGTCCAACAGAAAATTGATGACAGGGTTTCTGCTGCCGTCGCCAAAGAAGCTGACACCTTAAAAACATGCGTAAGAACAGCAGGAAACAATTCTGAAGGTTTAAAATGTTTACCCATGCCTGCTTGTCCCTCACTGAAGTTATCCACGTATGATGGGAAAACCTCCTGGCAAGTATATAAGACACAATTTTCTATCGTTGCGGATGCCAATGGATGGGATTGCAAAGCTAAGGCCGGTCATCTCGCCTCTTCTTTGAGAGCAGACGCAGCAGATATGCTTCAGACTCTTCCTGAAAACCAAAGGCTATATTTCGAAGCTCTATCCGGTGTATTGGAGCTGCGCTTTGGGGGAGAAATGTTTGAAAGACTACGGCAGGCTTCAATTAAAGTCCCGTCAACAGAAGCCCACTGAAACACTCCAAGAGCTCTCCACGGATGTTGAAAGAAACCAGGGAAATTTTGTCCCTCCAGTACTTTATCGATGGCATCCGGAATCCCGAAATACAGAAAGCTCTGAGAATGGCAGACATCAAGGACTTAAAAAGCGCTCTAGTGTACGCCATGAATTTCGAGGCAGAGCAGCAAGCAACTCGTGGAAACCGCCATCCAATCAGAGTTGCTCAAGTCCAGGAGCCAGTGGATCAAGTCCATGCTTGTCTAGACGTTTTAACTAGACAGCTCAATGTCTTAAGGCGAAATATCGGTGACAAGAAACCGAGCGTAAAGTTTTGGAACTGTGGTGCTTAAAGGCACATACGAAGGAACTGCAGAACGCCCCAGACCACAGAAAATAAAACAAAATGCTAAAATTTTTCCTTACTACAATATCACAGAGTAGTTATATTTTAAACTACTAAAACGTTAAATACAACACAATTCAAACGCAGGGAAGGCTAATCTGGTCTCACCGCGAATTCGCTACAATCAACAACAAAAACTTAGCAAACAATTGAACTAAGATTTTCTTCTTTCCGGCTTTTACAAGCTTTTTAATCTTGCACAAAAACATTCTGGAATTTTCTCGAGGTTTCTGGAAAGCAAAAGAGTACAACTAAGAGATATCTATTTATTAAATATTAAATTTTTAATTTTTTTCGGCATAGCTTTCTCTTAAAACTTGCCACGCGCTGCATTGCACGAGGAAATAAACAACTTTAATTACAATTCTACTAAAAACAGCAAACTAAATACAAAATCCGTAACAATACATATATTTATATTATTATAAATATAAAAGCTGCTTATAGGAAAAGTAAGATTAAGTTAAGCTCCAAGCTGCCGTAATGTCACAATTTTTGCTTTTCTTTCAATCTAGAAAATGCCTTTTTGCAACAGTGCAATGCAAATCAATTTGTACAGAAGATATATATATTTAGAATTCCTAAACGTAATATAGTTTGGTCGATATAAACGTGTAGTGCTTAATAAGTTTTTAGGGATAAGAAAAACGAAAATTCAACATTGCCCTCTCCTTAGGTGTTTGAGTTACGAATCTCGAACTTGCTAGTTGATTATTGTAATAATAAATGGATGTGTCAAATGTGATACCGCAATAACCCAAGGCGTGGAGGATGAAATGTGTGATCTAAAAAAAAATAGAATTAAAGTAACTTACCCCCAAAGGATGACACTTCAAATAATGTGAATTACGAGAAATCTTGACATCGTGAAATTTTAAATCAATACTAGTATAAATCAAGAAAACATAGCCAGACAGAAGACAGTGTACGACGTACTACTGCAGCAGTGAGAATCAGTTCTACTATTTCGAGTCGTAATCTTTCGTGCACAAAATGCGTAAAGTTCCAATCCAATAAATCTCAGGTCATCTTCGTTGCACAAAGTTACAAGATAACAAATTTGAATTTTTATAGGGAATGACGTTGGTTTGGCTTTTTATTCCAATATATTTTTGTGGTAACACCCGGCCAATTTTAGCATGAAGACGCAACACGTGCACGGGAATTCCTTTCGGAAACGTCTCAAGTCGTAAAACATCATTCATTTACCCCAGAAGTCGGCATCTAGGTCAATTTTAGTTGAATCTTTATACCACACACTATGATTTTTTGACAAAATGCATTTTCTTGAAACTATATGGAGATGGTCGTCAGAAAGGCACGAAAAGGAACAAAATTGCAGACACGCATCATCGGCGGTGAGGACGGACAGAAGCCTGCCCTACACCTTCGGAGTCTAGCAGCACAAGAGACCGAAAACCGGTTGTAATGTTCAATCTCGCTCTGTCATTGAGCGGCGCAGTGAACAGACTTGATGTTGAATAAATGTAGAGGCTTGCCTGCACAATTATGCTAACCACCGATTATGAAATAATGTTTTTTAAAATAAACCCCGTAATTTTATGCATTTCTATGCTAACTGCGTTATCTTAATATTACAAGTTCACTGAAATGAAATTTTTTAAATATTTGGGATCACTTAAACTAGCTTTCATTTTAGTAAAGTTAACATGTTTCTTGGTGTAACTTTGATTTTTTTAGCAGATAATTTGAAAAATCGGGGAAAGTTGTAAAATTAATTTAATTTGCAACAAAATAAAAAGTTCTTACCTCCTTGATCATCAAGCGCGACGAGAGTTCGAATACCCGCTTCCTTGCTCTGTGAATTAGAAGAAATTATATATTATAACAAGTATTGCATTAAATACAACTGTTAATGTTACGAATATTATTTCTGGTCTTTGTTACACTTAATATAACGCAATGTCATCTCTTGTCATTAACGGCTATAAAAAAGAATGGGTATTGATGTAGTACGATATATTTAAATATGAAGGTAAACATAAGTAATTGAGAACACATAAATGAAAATGATTCCATTCATTAATTTAATAACCTATTAAATTTTTAATTACATTTAAATTGCTTCTAATTGTACAAAACAAAAGCAGGTGTGACCCTTAAAAAGCCTGTTTTTTCGAGTAGTTCAGTCGTATACATCACGAATGACTCACAAAGGGGCACAAAAATAATCACCACTTTTATTAACAGATATTCAGCATGCTTCTGCAAGATAACTAGGAATTAGTTATTCCATGTGTTGTGTCGAGCTCTTTAACTTGAAAATTCTCTAGTACGACTCTGTTATTTTAGTACTGCTAACAAGACCGACAACATTTTATTGGTGTTTTTCAGTTCGATGATCAAAGGATACGATAAAAAACCGCGTACGATAAAAAAGATACTAAATATACGATAAAAAAGTGCGTACTAAATCAATAGTAAAATATAAATATATCTGTGAAAGATCTGACACACTAATCTAGTGAAATGCATTAATGTTTTACAAGTATTAATACTTTAATTAATGCTTAATATATTAACACTTTACTAATAACTTTTAAAGTGTACAAGAGCATTGACCCTTTAATCATTCATTTCTACTTAATTAGAACTATGTTTCAAGTATATTTCGCTTTTTTTATCATTATTATAACCTTTTTAATTACCTAGGATAATTTGTTTCAGTCTGTACCGGCTATGTTAAATTATTCAGTGACTTTAGAGTCGCATATTATTTTGAATTAAGATTTGTAAGGTCTCTCATAAATACCTTGTTTGCGGTGCAAAGTATAGATTTGCGTTAAAAGACATTTTCGTCTAACTTAGTGGAAAGATGAATTGTCTTTATTTTCAAACAAATATTTAACTTCTTAACTTAAATTCTACTTCAGTTAAAGCGCTATTTTTGAAGCTGGTGTTCATATTAGGTTTAGACAAAGAACTCATTAGTAAGCGAAGTGGTTTCAATGATTCTTTCAGCAGTCCAAGGATTAAGTAAGCTGTTTAGATAGAGAACTGTGATTTTCGATAAGAAAAAGTCAGATCAGATTAACGATGGTATGATATGCCACTCATAATTAAATTATGACTCGTATTAAATTATAATGGCGGCTTTTTCTTATTTATTGTGATATTAAGTGAAATCGAATTTGTCTCTTCGTTTCTTTGATCATCTATTGCTTGTAACTTTTATTTTTCAAAAGTATATTTAATTCTACTCTATTCAAAAGAGCTGATACGAATTTGCACGTAGCGAATTAAAAAATGTATTTTAATTAACCGAAAAGTTTATTTTAACATAATGTGACGAGCGCTGGTAAAAATAGATTTTGAAATTCTTGGTCTATAAAAGTTTCACACTGTTAGCTTGTTAACAGCCAATACAATATTTGAAACACTAAAATTATTTTGTAATTTTAGTAATTGTTATTTGAAGAACTTACCTCATCGCATAGGGCCATCATTCGCCTTGTTGACTCTAAAGACTGAAAATAAAATTTAAAAAAAATTAGTAAAAAAATTTTTTAAAGTGATAAAGGTACAACTGAAAGGAATTTTGGACTATTTTATTCGAACCTTTTATTAAATCGAATTCATGCCAAGGATGAAAGGGGTATCAACTGATATACCTTACTGCGGTGGGCAAACAAACTATTCACTAAATCATGTCGTTTCAGCATCACTTTCGAGTATAATACTCGAAAGTGATGCTGAATAATTAAAGCTAAGTATTAATAACTAATAAGTTTATATTATAAATTCATAAAGAACAATTAATCGTATTTACGCAACATTTAAAATTTTGAATGCACCTAAAAATTATTATTAAGAATTTGTTGGTTAGGAATTGAAAAATTAATGAATGTGATACACATAAAATGATGACACTAATTATTAAACCAGTTAATTTCTGTAATATTTATCATCACTCATACACTTCTTAAACAAATAAACTCTGAATCAGGTTTATATGTGCTTTCTCTCTACAATTTTCAATTAATTTGAAAATAAAGCAAGACAAATTGTTACTATGCGTTTCCTTCCTTTCCGAAGTTAAGCGAAATTTTATACGTAATATAATGAAATAAAGCTTAGAATTCCAGAGATGTTAAGCACACATGCCCTTGTTTATTCATCCCTATCAGTCAGGATAATTTAGTTAGAATATAAATATTGCATTTAATTAATTATTTTTTTCTTTTGTTTCTATTTCACCTAATCCAAAAATCTTTTCATTTTGGAAGTAGGATGTTCATAACGACTATTTTGAACTACTATAAAATTTTCTAGACTTACTTTTTATATGACAATATAATAAAAGTAGATGAATATCGCCTGTGTCTTTTTAAATGCTTTATAAATATACTGACACTAATAATACATTTTTTTTATCCCAAAGTGTGAAATCTCATTAAGACACACTAACAAGTCATACTTCGTTATTCCTTTGGTGCCTTGAAAAGAGCTCTTTCTAGGAGCAAACCTACCACAATTGATGTAATCGGGAAGTAGTGGAAGACGAATGAATATCGAAATTACCAGAAATTTTACGAAAAGCCCTTCTGTGATTTAAATCACAGTATCGAACATTTAAAAAGTACTCTTTATTTTGTAGTACTCTTTATTTTTTGTAAACATTAATTAAACCGCCTCAAAAACGTTCTAAAAAGGTGGAAATATCCTCTGTAAACTTCAGTGAAGAAACTACAACTTGGATACTTTGTACGTCTTACTGGACGAAGATAATGTAGTCCTCTTATTATAAAGCAAAGTAATAAAAAACTTATAAATTATGAATAATTGTTTAAATTTCATCATTTGTTTTTAATCCTTTTTATCTATTCATAACTTGTTATGAAACTGATACCATATTCCTGGTAAACTGAAACCGAGGCGAATTCATCAAGTGTCTTTCACATAATCCACAAATGACTAATATGACTACATTTGCTCAAGCGGTGAACATCTATGAGATAATCCATTTTATTCTCCATAGGTCTAATATGTCACAGCTGGCTATAACCGGAGCATGAGTAAAACAAATGCGAAGGCCCTGCAGTTAAATGGAGAGTGGAGAATAAAACCTCGACGAACCACCACGAATATAGAGGGATAAAACACCAAGATCCGGAGTGGCCACATTGTTAACGCATTATCTCCTCTTTTGTATTCTGTCCGCATCTGAGCAAATATGGATTGAGATGCTCTCGGAAATAGTCTCGTTGGTAAACTTTGATTGATTCTTTCATATGGTCCTTAATTGTTTTTGTTATGATAAGTCATCAACAGTCTTGTTGGAAGAGGTAATCGTTACCGTTTTCATTCAGCTGCGGAATCAAATATTTTTCCAGTACATCCCCATTAAGTACTGCAAATAATCCGTGCTTTCTCGTAACCATAAATTTTGTTTTATGCATTTAGAGTGGTCTATCTTAAAGACTGGTAAGCTTAAAATTATCCAACACGTCAGGATTTATTGTAACATTTGTTATTCATTTATTTTTATTTTATATACATATTAATGCGTAAAAGTATCTATATATTTGATGAAAAATTCATATATTATAAAATATGCATTCTTTTTTAAATTTTTAAATAACACTTATATTTAGACAATTTCTCATGAATACATTATAGAACACTCATGCAGCATACGACTGATGTAGAATGTGCATTTATATCTGTTTTTGTCATTCATTGTACATAATATGGTTATAGTGAAGAGATCACTGAGAACAAGAGAAGGTGTCTCAGTTTAATTTTATTAGCTTGCTCATCATCCTGTGGAAAATTCTCAGTGATTCTTGAAATCTAACAAAAAAGATAATATCCTCTTTCCGATTACTTTAAGGACCTTATCTTAAGCATAATTCTATTGATATACGCAGAGCCACATATATCACGCCGTCCTGTCAACTTTAGAAAAAGTATTATTACTTACATTGAAAAGATTAAGTTCAAAATGTCCTGGCGATTGCTTTAAGTCGCCTAAATAAAAATAAATACCGTATTATCCGTTTATGACGAATTTGTTTATAATGGATTTAATTCTGGATACCTTGGCTTTTGCCAAACAACGTTAAATTCATTTTCTTACATGAATTATTCTAAGCCATTGACTGATACAAAGAATTTCCTTCCTCTTTTTCTTTGGATTTAATCAACAAGAAGCACCGTTCAATTTAGTAAACGATTTTCTCGCTTTCTTCTTCTCCTCCCCTTGTGGTTTTTAAAAGGAAAAAAATTCCTTTGGCTATCTCTTTTGACTGAGAAAACAAGTTCGAATATTGTTACAAGAAACAAATATTTTGTTCATTGCCACATGGATGTCATAGTTGGCTATCTTTATCCACACCAGATGATTTTGAAAGATTCTTTAATAAACTATTTTCTTACAGTAAGCTTACAGCTTTGAAAGCTTGAAGATGTAAGGTTTCTTCTAAAACTAATTCCGTAATATATTTTAAAGGATTGGGATTATTCAATTACGGCAAAGCACACAAGGGCTATCTGCCTAAAGTGAGGGATGCCTTCGTGGAGGACTTTTTAACGGAAACTGTCTTGTATACACGTTACACATGGGGAAAACCACGAAAACGCTCATGCAGCCATCCCTTTTGCGGGATTCGAACCTCAGACCGAACTACCAGTGTTCAGCGTCTTTACCGCTCGGCCGCTGGTGAGCCCTATTTTTTAAGGTATCTTTAAATTAAAAAAATTAAGTTTAATAAAATTAAGAAATTACAAACATCCAAATGTTTGTATTCACATAAGTAGTAACAAGCAGTATTAGCTATTTATAAAACTAAATATTAAGCTCTCATAAAGAAAAACTTGTCATTGTGTAATTAAAAAAAAAAAATTAGAAAATACAAAGACCCGTTTTTTGATTATTTTTTGTCCGTATAAGGTAAGATTTCTAATAGTGAATTTATTGAAATAACTAATTTTGTCATTACCGGTATTTTTTCGTTATTAATTGGTACGGTTATAAACAATTTTAAATATAATAACACTATATGGTTCCAGCTTGCTTTGAAATTTAGTAAATTTAATATTAAGTGATGTAAAACGTTTTTCTCATGAAGATACATGATAGATAAAAACATCATAAGGTTTTCAACTGCAGTTTAAATTCTAGCTTTATAGAACTTGACTATCTATAATATAATAATTCGCTCATTTAACTCATCTTAACGGAAAACCTTTATGCATATTTCGGGTACCAAAACTGAAAGTGAAGTTGATCACTTCTGTTTCATCTTACCAACATTTTTATATGAAGTAAAACAAATTATGTAAACGAATATTTTACCTCATCCGTCACTTGACTCGCTTTGAACTGGAGTTGCTCCAGTTCCGTCTTCCCGCCCATTCCCTCTACACCGTTTACTTCTGCAGCTTCAGGCATTTTGGTTTATGTGCTGGTCCCCCTGGAAAGAGAAGGAAAAAATTACTTACAAGGAGATATAATTTGCTACTGCATTCAGTTAGGAAGCGTCATATATACGAAAATGCAGTGACGAAAATCAAGTAGATCAAGTAGCATTAAAATTAGGTATTTCTGTAACTGTAATAAAATTTTACCATCCTTGATCATTTTGCAATTTCAGAATATGTTAGAGACAAATCCCACACAGGCCTTTTTCTAAAAAACATTCACTTATTTAGTAAAGCTAACACTCACGCAATGTAAGTCTTTACAAAGAATACATTATTCATTCACAAAAATAATTTTTTGTAATACGTTTATATAAAAACTTCAAGAAGTTTAATTTATTACTCTATAAGAGCTACCATAATAATAAAATGTTTAATTTAATTTAGTTTCTAATAACAAAAACATCCAGACTTAGATTGGCTAGTTAATTAAATTTCCGAACAGCATGAGAACTATTTCGAATGAAGTGAAGGAATATCTTCGCAAAATGTTTTAAGAGAAGCTGTACTTATGCCATCCAGAGGAAAAGCACAGAAATTTCAAAGCAGAACGAACATTTGACTATTCTAAGCTGAAATGGACAAGAACTACAAATTCGACTTAAAAAGACGAAAGTTAGCATCGATGAACGGCAATATGTAAAACTATTTAATGAATTTAGAAGTTCTGAATGAACATTTTTCTTCGGATACTCATAATGTCCAATACAGTATATAATACGCAGTATATAGTAATGTAATATAATATGTGCTATAAAATTTCTATCATAAGCATATCTCGACGTAAAACATAACATGTAATTTTATGCTCTCTTACACCAGATATGTAGCACATAGGTTTTATTCCTAAATCTGTTATATATAGATCACGCTTTATACAGATCTTTTGCCTGCCTTTTTTATTAAGAAATTCCAAGTTACTGCGAACACAGTCATTGGTACGATGCATCTCACTGACGTGAAACACAGGTTTTCATGCAACAGGATCTTGCATACAACTTCATCACGTATTTTCAAGCAATTTTCCTGACATTTTCATTGCATTTAATAAATGTTTGCTATTTCCCATGACGGTTTTTACATTTTGTTAGTTTTCATCCGCCGTGATCAGAAGCCAATTCGACGATGAAAAGTGGAAAGCAAACCTTTTTAGTTTTTCTGATCCATACGATCGTTTAAATTTTTATATTCACTATCATAATGAGCACTTTGGGAAAACTGAATCATGGACAACCAGTTTTTCCTTAGAAATGAAGCTGCAAGTAAATAATAAATGACAATGCTTCTGATTGACATAAGAAAATCCATTTATACGGTACCTTTATTAGTTACAAATTCATATGAATACTTGATGTCTATAAAGAAAAAACTTTTAAAATCCAACCTCGAGGTTTTCTTCTAGCACATTCAAATGATAGGAAAACATCTTTTTTGAAAACATATCTTTTTCTTAGTTAAAGGTTAGTTGATAAAAATAATAAATCATATGTGATTAAACTTTGTATCTAATGTATATCTTTAATTCAGTTCTGTTTAATTTAAAACTCTCCTAACAACAATAAAGATTAACAATGTAAAGCTGTCACTGCAGTTACGTGTTAAAATGAGTAACACAAAATTGTAACGTTCGATACTCTGAAAACTGGTCATCAAAGATGTATTCAGAAGCATAAAACAGAAATAAACTATAGAGATATTTAAGGAACAAATCCTTTCCCATTATTTGAAAATATAATGTTCTTGTAAAACCTTTCTCAAATCAAAGTAATATAAAGCAAATAAAAGATTACCTTAATTTTTATACGAAAAATATTGAGCGAAAATAAATCTCAAAACAGTCTATCAGAGTTAAAAAAAATCTAAAATAGTACGAATGTATAATAAATGTAAGAATTATACGATAAATTGTCAGCCTATATGAAAAAGAGATAAGTTATGTGCATTGTAATTTCAGCTAAGGGGAATCATCCAGAATCAGCGTTTACGCTAGAAGATTACTGAAAGACTACGAGACGGTGCTGGTGGTAATAACGTAACGTTAGGTTGAAAACTGTGGACGGCTGAGCCGAAGGAAGAATAGAAACCTGAAGGGCATAAGTCGCCGGAAGTTAATACCTCATAAGTCGCCTGAAATCTTAATTTAATTGCTAATGTCTACATTTTTTATACTTGTCTCCGTTGATATCCAAGATAAACATTCTTCCCTTGTTGTCACACGCATATAACGTTTAAAACATAACAATATGTTTTATGTTTATCGGCTTAGTTTCATTAAGTGTTTTACCATGGAATCGTTGTAAAAGTATTCAAAACATCGTGAACGTGTATATGCCATTTGTACATTAAATGGAGAAAAATGCTGTCATCATTCTTTGCTTCCTTTCGGAAAAGAAAAATTCTTGTTCATATTTCCTTTGGGAAGTGAAAAAAGATAAAAGCGAAAGCGAATGTTTAGACTAACAGGTAACTCAGTGTTTGAATAACAATATAACATATCCAGTGGCCACTAGATAAGAATCCTAAGCAGACCATTAATGCATATTTTAACTGGTCATACATCTGTTTGCGTTCGTATTGATAACATGATTTTTTTGAAAGTGCCAATCTTAAGTCCAATTCAAAACATACTTCCCAGGGTACAAAATCCCCAGGACAGCAACGCAGTGTTTCTCACCCTTTCTGTAATCTTCCAAAAACATAAGAGGGCCATTTTGCTTCGATAGCTTTTACGTGCATCCAACGAACCACACGTTACGTGCTTCAACGAACCACAAAGAACCACAAGCAACTACACAATACTTGGATTTGAACAGTACCCATGAATATGGCGTTTGCTTTCACTAACTAGTCTATCAGTAAACTGTCACATAAAGCCTTGTGAACCGAAAATTCATGCTGCACATTCACATTGAAGAGTAAGCTTTCCTTTACAAAATACATTCCACTTAATGAAATTCTATTATCATTTAATTCCTTTAAAAGTTTCTCCATACAAAGCCTAAATACATAAGTCTACTGAAATTTATCGTGATGAAATTATTTCTTGTCGTCTCCGTTTAATTAATTTTTTTTAATGTTTGACATCCCTCTTACTTTATTCTTTTTTATCTTGCCAACAATAAGAAACTTCTTTAACGGTAAGAAATTCAATTTATGCTTCCTATCTCATTTCGTAAGTGCATTTAAACTACAAGGCTTGATAAAAGACATAAAAAAGACTTTTGTGTGTAAGGGCAAAATAATAATAAAATATTTAAAAAGTGTCAAGAGGTTTAATCCTTTTAAATAAAGTATTCTTATTTCATTGTTTCTAAGATTATTTTTTACACGAACTAAAACATTTTTTGAGTTACTACTAGGGTAACCAACAGAAGTGAGACTAATTTATTGCCACTGCATTCTATATGGGGTATCTACATCTAAAATGGTTTTGGTGTTAATTTAGTCTAAAGTAAATGCGAACAACTGAAAGCTGGTTTTGAAATTAGAACCTCATATTTATTCAAGAGAACATTTAATTTAAGAAACACTAGTTTTTAGCCCAAAAGGGAAATTTGCGGAGAAGGGCTATTTCGTTTTCGCATTTTGCGTCGTTCACTATAAAACGGCTTTTTGTTTTCAAATTTTTGCCAACAAATATTAGAACCCTGCATTATATTTAAACAAATTAAATAATGAAGAATCTGCATTAACGTGTGTATGTTTCTCACATTCTGAAAAAAACCAACCTTACTTAAAGACATAAAATTTTGAACAACGTAGTCCTCCAATCGAATATGGGCATTTGGAATCTCTTTTATTATCTGTTTCATATTTCGTAGAACTTTAATGAATTTTTGATTAACAAACTCAACGATTTCAAAGCGAACAATGGCAACATTGTACGGAGAAATAAAAAATTATGTGCAGCGCGCCAGACTGTGTATCGGAAATTCTAAGTAAAGTGCGAAGAAAGTTCCAAGTAAAACGTGCTAAGAACATGTGCAACACATAAAACGTTAAAAAAAACATTTGGGCCTAATATAAAATCTAAAAGCTTTCATATTTTTAATTTTTTTTTCTTTTGCTTAGTAGAGCTGTGTCATTTGTGTTACTCTTATGTGTGTGCTTGGCTTTGAGAAGGGTTTCAGATATGTTTACCTTGAGGCAGTTTTAAATCCTGCACTAAGATTTTAATTAGCAATTTATTATGTGTAACTTTCTCATTATGTGACGCCTTTATACTGAAGAAAAGAAAGAACTTAGAAAAAATTAAGAAACGTCAATAAAGATAAAAAGCATTAAAATAAATTGAATATTCTGTGATGCTGTCAGATTACTAATATGAAGCTTAAAAATTCTTGTAGCTTGTGTTTGCAAGAAACGTGACATCAGAAGAACCTTTTTAGGAATAAGTTATATAGACATATGAATATCTGAACGTAATTTGCATCAAAGCAATATCTGAATGTAATTTGCATCAAAATGTAACATAGTATAGCAGCAGTGTCAATTTTATATTATAATTAAACGAAACCTAAAGGCTGATACTGACAAACTAAATCACCATCAGAATTCACATTTTTTCCTAAATAACTATAAACTTTGTTGAAATAGATTAAATATGATGTAGTGTATTGCTTAAACAGACGTTGTTTTTGTTATCTAAGGCATCGTGAAAAAGCGTGCTTTCCCCCTTTCTATTTCTCAACTAGTCTAGCGCTTCAGATTCTTCATTGTTGGTTTTTCCCGTTTCAACGACCAACACAGATATCGATTAGGACGAACCTCTATTAGTCACGAATGCAGCGACTGAAATAGTTTGCTAGAGCAATTTAGGAGATGGGAAAGCGAATTTCATATTCTGCATTCAATTTTAAGCTTGAGTCGTGATCTGTTTATGATCCATAGGAGAAAAATTTTTCACTTCTCCGGAAATTTCTTCCTCTCAGAACCCACTTTAGTTGTAAAAATAAAAATAAGAGTCAGCTGAGAAAAAGAATTACACAAAAAG